TTTTTTTTGAGATAGTCTCACTATGTTGCCCTTGGTAGAGTGCCATGGCATCATAGCTCACAGCAAACTCAAACTCTTGGGCTTATGCAATTCTCTTGCCTGAGCCTTCCAAGTAGCTAGAACTACAGGTGCCCGCCACAACACCCAGCTATTTTTTTGTTACAGTTGTCATTGTTGTTTGGCAGGCCCAGGAAAGGTTCAAATCCGCCAGCCCTGGTGTATGTGGCAGGCATCCTAACCACTGAGCTACAGGCACTGAGCCACCTTATTCTGTTATTTCAAATTTTTAACAACATGATATGCTTTAATTCTTTAAAAACATGATTTTAAAGCTTCACCCTCAGGCAGTGCTGGCCTCATATACCAAGGGTGGCAGGTTCAAACTCGGCCCTGCAACAACAATAAAAAAAAATAGCCAGGAGTTGTGGGTGCCTGTAGTCCCAGCTACTCAGGAGGCTAAGGCAAGAGAATCACCAAAGCCCAAGAGTTGGAGGTTGCTATGCACTGTGACCCACGGCACTCTACCCAGGGTGACAAAATGAGACTCTGTCTCTAAAAAAATAAAAATAAAAATAAAAAGCTGCATGCTCTTTCTGGATCCTTTGTCTCTATCAAATTTTTCCTATTACAAACAATACCTCCGTGAGCAAACCCTGCCACTTTTACAAACCCACAGACCATTATAAGTACTTAGGATTTACATGCTCAATGCAATAGATACAAAAGCCATTACCTGAATATTTAAATGAGCAATAAGCTTTTCATTGGCTTTATTTCTAGACTCCAGAGACAGGACATCAGGGGAGCGACCACCATCCAAAGCAACTGACAGTCGTTCTATCTCTCGTTCTCTTAGCTCAATCTAAGGACAGAAAGCCATGCTGTCATTTTTTAAAAATCTGGTTTTGAACAAAATGATTAACACTGAACAAACATTTGGATATACTTTTTTCCAATCTACCACAATGTACGCAAGAGATAAACCTTCATATTTTTACCCACACATACATGCATATATCCAAAGCAAAAATAACACAGAAAATGTCAATACAACTTTTGTAAATATTTGTATTGAATAGAACACAAAAATTAGAAGAAATCCAAGATTTATTCTAATTTAATTTTTCCTTCTCTAAGAATTAGGCAAAGTTTATATAGAAAGAAACTTGCTAGCATATTACATGCATGCCAAAGTACTGGAACTGAATCTAAGCTACTTCAGTGGAATAAATGTGGAATAAAGGAATGATATAAGATACTAAGAAAAGTGAGTTGCCACTGAACCTCAACATTAAAAAGAACAGAAAGTTGGGGAGAATTTAATTATCTTTTAGAAAACAGACATATGATCAAAAAGATCACTACTAACCATAAACTGATTAATTCACATGCAAGAATTTGGAAAAACCCACACTTTCAAGCTTTGGTTTTCTTTCTCAAACAAAACAAAACAAAACATACCCTGAAAACAGAATCAGTTGATTCAACAAACAATTACTGAACACAGAGCTAGACCATGAATAAAACATGGTCCCTGACTTTTGGGAACACATGCCTTCACAGGAAAAACTAGCAGGTAAACTAATAATTGTTATCTAATATGCTATTCAAAGATAAAATTTAAAAAAGGGAAATAAGCATAGGGCACCAAAGTAGTTAAGGGAATGAAGTACTTTACTGTGCACAGTATGTGTGTGCACACAGATACAGTGACGGGGCGGTGCCTGTGGTTCAGTGAGTAGGGCGCTGGCCCCATATACTGAGGGTGATGGGTTCAAACCCAGCTCTGGCCTAACTGCAACAACAACAAAAAAAACAGCCAAGCATTGTAGCGGTCCCCTGTAGTCCCACCTACTTGGGAGGCTGAGGCAAGAGAAT